ACATTACCCACTGATTTAAACGCTAGATTTTTATTCTTGTGTTTAAAAACTTTAACCAAGTTTAGGTACATACTAGTATTTTCACCCGTGCGATGCACGAAATGGATTTGTTGTAATATATTAAGAATATTTGAATAGAAATATAACTATTTAAATACACAATAGAGCCGTATTAGTCTCTAATATATTTTTGAGTTTTTTTCAGGCTATAACTACATTGGGATTTAAATGTGTTGGAATTTGAAAGGTTGCTGGCTTGCAGCACATCACAACTAACTTGAGTTAAATGATGTATCAAATATCTCTTCAAGTTCTGTTATTTTGTATCATCATTTTCCAACTATGAATCTTATATAGTTTAAAGTATAAATTTGAAATATTTTTTGGTATCAACCTTTGAATTTCTGATAATTGTCAATATAGTTTTTTTAAGTTCACTTTGCTTAATAATAAATTATTGGTAACAATTTCCTTAGTATTGCCCTGTGTATATGCAGGAATATAATGATGGGCAGATTTGTAAGTAATACTCAACACAGCATGCTTTCCTAGATTTGAAATATATCATATAGTTAGAAATATATGAATTTCATAGATTTAAGCATAGTTAGAAACATATGAATTTCCTTATAAGATTTAAGCTTCTTACTTGCAGATTTCATTATTGTGTGGACCAAGTCTACACAAGTTGTGTGGACCATGTTTTGTCTACTGTAAAATAATATACATTCAATACAAAAATAATATACATTCAGTATAAAAATAATATACATTGTATTCAGAAAATGTACATTATTTTTGTTCTGAGTGTACATTATATTTTATAATGTACATTCATTACAAAAATAATTTACATTTAGTATATTAAATATGTACTTTTTTGTTATAGTCCACATAATATTGTGTGGACCAATAATTTGACAAAGTCAACAATCTTTCAAAGTAAACAATAGCAGTTTTAAATCTTTTGCCAGAAAAATACACCATAAAGAAAAAGAACATTCAAAACAAAATTACTATTACAAAAGCAAAATTGAAATACACATTTGTACATAAACACATCTAAGAATTGAATGGTCACACACTCAGGATAAGGACTCAATATATCTCACTTGTTCTAATTCTTTGAAGTACCAAAATGAAAATTAGAAGTAGCCTTCACAATTCGCCCTCAAAAAACTCAAACAGAAGCTGCTGCTGCCTTCTTCCTCGGAAATGCTTCAATACCATCCTTTTTGCCTGTATCCTATCATAGGAGAGGTAGCATACAAAGACTTATAACAGGAAACATTCATACAACAGCATTAGAACTAAACACCAAATATGATTCATAACTGAGATTGTATTCTTACAGACCATGTAATAATTTTACCTGTCCATCTGTTGATTTCTTAAAAATGATGTCTTGGAATAATAGGGATGACTGTGCAAATTTCCTGGAATAATAACAGTTTTATGGAAAATTGCAAATATGACTATTAATTGTCTTGATTTCATATCTTCAGCTTTAGTATGGAATACATAACCTGAAAACATGAATTTAAGAATCTGCTTAATTGTTTTTTTAATTAAATGTATTACTCCGTATAAATTAGTCATTCTTTTATTTATCTCATGTCTTAGTATAATATAGTTTTTATAGCAGATTTGTGAATTTCCTAATACTGTATCTAGTGCACAGCTTTATACTATGCATTTGTAAAGCTAAAAAATCAATGAATTCGTTCCTTGCAGGATTTAAAACATACCCTAGGATGCAATTCAACAATGTATTCGTGAAGATATGTACTCTATCAGTATGCAAAAGGGAAAACAATAAAAATGGACACCAGGTACTTGATCCTTTTCAAGTGCAGTATCACGTACTTGATCCATCTTTGTTTGTAAGGGACTTTGTTGTATTTACTAAATAGACTTCTAAACAATTTTGCTATTTTTTACCTAACTTTACTAACTAATAAACACTTAAACACTTGCAAACAATGATGTTACAGTCAGATGCACTATTTTCTTCCCATTAAACAGAAGTAAAATGAAATCTGAAATATTTCCTTGATTTGCTTCATACGTAATATGTACTATTGTTCCAATACATGTATTTAAAAATTGTTATATATTCACAACCAAATCAGCTATAATGTTTCCTCCTCAATTTGAACTACCTGCAAATGAATGATTGAATCATACAAAAAAGATGGTCACCACTGCAATCATCTACTTGGAAGTGTAGGTGATTGAAAACTCAGCTCTGAAAAAGAAAACTGATTGCATCAGGTTTTCAAACCCTTATGTACATGATAACAATCTATATCAAGAGTAAAAGCAAACTAATATACAAACCAAAAAAATGATTCTTGTGCCACCAGACACAATTGTTTTATAAGACCACCCTTCCCAGATTTCTTTGCCACCAGGCAAAATTGTTTGAAAAAACCATCAACAAACCAAACCAAAAAAATCTTATTACCGTAAACTGACACTTCCTTAAACTTATTAAGGAACTTAGGAACATAATCTTTTGGGATGGTGCTTACCGTATGGTAACTCTTTTTTCTGAATTACCCCAGAATCATGAAAGGCAATCTCCTTCCACTTGATAGCTTCCTTTGTGTTCCGGTACACTGTATGAACGAACCACAACTTTAATCGCACTCCAGATATCGAATGGAGAGACCTCACTTCCAAGAATGTACAGAGAATACATTCTGTTTGAGAGATATGTATTCTGTGATTTTTTGGAAGCAAATTGTACTTCGCCCAGCAATATGTGGTTGAATGCCGGGTTCTACAATGAATTCACATATTTATACAAATTTGGAAGCACTGATTTGTTGAGACTTTTAAGTTGTAATACAAAACGTTTTCTCCGAAATGTAAATTTAATAGTGATTTTCCATTTAAATAGATATTTGTATATTTTTTGAATTTGTATAAATCTGTATACAGGAGAAGGCACCATTATTTTTTGTATTAAATTCCAACTGTTGATATTCCCAAACGGCACATTTATAGAAGGCATTTACTGCATAATAAATCCTCATTTGTTCCGCCAAAACGCAGTATTTTGATTTGGCGGGAACTTTCCCTATTTTTTTTTACCAAAAAGGTCCTGCTTTATTATAATAGAGGAGAGGATTAAAATTTATATCCCAAAGCAAGATATTATTACAATAGGTTAATTGATTGAAAGTAATATAGTTTTTGTCAAGTTTAAATTCAAACATCACCTCTTATAAGAAAAAATAAAATAAAAAATATATATCACCATTACCATACCCGTAACAGCCCCAACCCACTTGGGCTATCAGCTTTTACGTGACAGCCGATATCACTTTGTAGCTGAAAGCCCAAGATAGCTGACAACCCACTTAGGCTGTCAGCTACAAAGTGACAGCCCACTTGGGCTGTCACGTCGAGCTGGGCTGTCAACTCGAAAAAAAATGACCTTTTTGTTTAATTTTTTTTTTTTCATTAGGTATTACACATAAAAAATATTAAAAATATGTTCTGTGAAATTAAATTTTAAAATTGCATTCTACTAATGTAAAGTTTTATTCTGTTCCACGTGGTGGTCGTCTTCTATATATCTCCCATATCATTTTGTGTATAAAAAGCGTCTTGCTCAAAAGTTGGAATTGCGGCTTTATCATCGTCTCCTTCAATTTCTACTCCATCGTTTAGGTTGATCGGTGGAATATGAGCACGTCTATGACCACCCTGAGCTGGACGACCACGCATGTATACATCCTGTCTTCGATCCGGCGATCAAACTTGTTTAATAGGCTCGTACAAAAATTCCTCGTTATTCGTTGAAAAATCGAGAACATAATCATAGTTTAGCCTAACAAGTTCAATTATTGCAACTTGTTGCATTACATTCGTATAATTATTGCTTTCTCCGCGCTCATCAGCAATATCGCCGGCAATATAAACTGTCACTTGGATAATTTGAACATTATCTAATCATAGCGATTTTTTGGTGACATAATTATAAATATATCCTTTGTGTTGCTTTTGTGTTCAACCATTCCATAACCTTGAAACAAGCATCACTATCCAAGATAGAGAGTTCTTAATAGCATCTCAACAACCATTTTCTGCACAAAATTATGGATATTAGCGACAATTGAATCAAGAGTATTAGATCATTTCTCTAGAACATTATATTCATTTCTTGATATTATCTTCATATTCGATCCATTTTTTGTTTTGTTTTTATAATACTTTGTTGAAATTGCTTCCACATTTAGTTGTTACTACTTTTAACTGATTGTATGTATAAAGACATAAATATATTGTGTTAATTTATTAATTCTTAAATTACTTTTAAAGTTTATTATTATTATTATTACAACAATGATGGGTGAAATAAAAAAAAAAAAAAATACTATTGTTGTTACGGAAAAAAGGGCAAGGCAAATGAACAACAACAAGAGAAATAAATGTTATGGATGATAAAGGTAAAATTATCATTTTATAATTAAGGACAATCAACTAAATTTTGACTTATTGATTCAATAATTTAATATAACAAGTAATTTTATTACACAATTAAATAGTCTATAGACTAGTCAAACTATCGAAAATTAGCTTATAAATTATGTTACCAAACATAACCTATATTTTTATGGAAACAATATTATGAAATAGATTACACTGAATAATAAAATAAAAAATATGAAATTCAGGAACACTATAGTCATTTTCAACAAGCAGGCCATCAACTTCATTTATCATAGTTTCGATATTATTTGGGAAAAATGATCAAATTGGACTTAATTGAACAATTTTGTCGATTTAGGAGACTTGAATGAAATTTTTTTTCACTTAAGGAATTCAATTGCACTATCCAGTTGATTTAGGGGGTCAATTTAACACTTTTTCCTATTATTTGGTAATAACTTTGGAATAAGCCAACAGTCTTGACTTGTCGCTTGTATGTACATTATGTTTGGAAATATAGTGAGGGAGAGAGAGAGCAAATTAAAGAAAAGCAAGAAGAAACCATCAGTCAATCCATATCTATCTCCCCCCCCTGAAACAATGGCGGCATCCGTCTCAACCGTGAGTTTGAAGCTCCTCATAGATAAGAAGACACGAAAAGTTATTTTCGCCGAAGCCGACAAGTCCTTCGTGGATTTCTTGTTTCACCTCATGTCGTTGCCGCTAGGGACCGTTATCAAACTCGTGAACGAGAGTTCCATGGTCGGTTCCCTCGGAAATCTCTACGGCAGCATAAAAAACATTAGCCAAACTTTCCTCCAACCCAACGTAAACAAAGGTGTCCTTTTGAACCCAAAAGTCGTTGCCACTCACTCTTTCAACGCGCCACTTCTCTTGGCCGCCGGTAACGCTTCCGAGGCCAACAAGTTTTACTATTGTAATGGCTGCTGCAGCAGTTATGGTCGCTGCCGGTTCATCTCCGACGACCCGACAGCTATTTGTCCTCAATCCAAGTCCAAAATGAGTACCGAGGCGTCTTATGTTGCTCCGGTGAAGGCGGATTCTACTAGCAGGGATGAAAGTGGTGGGGGGTTTGTGAAGGGTGTTGTGACGTACATGGTGACGGATGACTTGAAGGTGATGCCGCATTCCACCATTTCTACCATTACCGTTTACAATGATTTCAATATCAAGGACTTTCGATCCGTTGAGGTTAAGGATGTTCGTGTGGGTGTTGATGAGGTACTGTTCTCTCTCTCTTGTTGTGATTAGGAAATTTAGCAGTATTTAGGATTGTGCCCTGATAAATCTTGCCTTTTGTTCCTTTTGAGTAAACCAGTAGAGTTGACTATAATTGATTGGCTCAAACCAATAAGGCATATTATGGCTAACTTGTTAAATCAGAGTTGATCTTATTAGGGTTGTTTTTGTTTTTTTTTTTTGCTTGCACATAAAATCTTGCATTTCTTTATTTATTTTCGTGGTGTTTACACTTGTAGCTAATTTATGTTAATTTTTTGATGTTGGTTGACAGGGATTGAAGGTGTTGAAAGCTGCTCTGCATACCGACTCCGTTCTCACAACCGTATTCCTTGGGGCTTAAAAAACTTACTGCAACATGCCGACAACCTTTTTGTGGCTTACTGGCTAGCTTCTAGGAACATGTTGCTTTTTGTGGTGCAGATATCGTTGTATTTTATCTGTTGTTATGGTTTAAACCAACCCCTTTTTGTGGCTTACTGGCTACCTTCTATGAATGGTGCAAGTTATGTTATTGTTTCAGTCTCTATTTTTGGTAAATATTGTCTAGTACGGAGTAATTTACAATATTAAATCAACCAAATTTTCAATTCAATCCTTGGATTTCAAGATTGATGAGCTTTGCCTTTTTAACTTGTGATTAAAAAAGAGGAAATAGAACATGGTCACCGCACAACTGCTCATTCAATTATTTAAAAATAAGTTTATAAGTTTTGCTTTGTTATTTGTTGCAATTTGATCTTGTTAGGGGCACTAGTCTACATGCATATGATGCATATTTGTCAATTAAGGCACATCATGCGATTTATTTTATTTGCTGATTTTCTTTGTTGCGCTACATTGTTGGGACACTAGTGTACAAGTATTTATGGTATGTTTGCTAATTAAGGCACATATGATATACCTCTTTCACCAATTTTCTTTTGATAGTATCCCAATTTACCTTTTTTTACTCGTCTTCTTTATTTCTCACTAACAACCACGGTTTGACCTTATTGTTGAATTGGCACTATGTAAAAACATTTACAAGTTTTTGAGGGTATTTGTTTTGGATTTAGGCAGTAGAAAATCAGTCTGGTTTCCGGTCGTGGAAACCAGAGAGCTCCTCTGGTTTTTGTTTTATATTTTTGAAATAAAAAAATATATTTTTATATATTATATATATATAAAATATTTTTATATTATATATATATATATATATATATATATTGTATTGAATATATTTTTAAATTTTTTTTTTTTTTATAGATAGATAGAAAAAAAATGTTTTGGAAAAGGAATCAAACACACAAAACAATTTTTTGTTAGTGCATATAAACACTAGAAAGAAAAATGTTTTCCAAAAAATAATTCATTTTCAAAAAAATATTTTATAAAAGTCATTTTACAAGTTTCTAAACGGACCTTTAATAGTAAAAAAAAATCGTTGTTTCAATGAGAAGCCTTAGGCTTCACTAATAATGAAAAGCCTGAGGCTTCTATTTCCCGGCCCATTCAATTGATGGGCTGGGTTGCATAAGGGGGCGTTGAGCTCCCCTTTTAATGAGGGAGCTCAACGACCTAAATTTGTTTTCGATGTTGGATCAAATTTGATCCCACATCACTTTTTTTTTTTTAAATGATTATTATTATTATTACTACTATTAAGAATGTCGTTTTGTGTCTTTTACCAATGAATAGCTAACATTAAAGAGTTGATTTTACTAAACATGTTTTTTACAAAAAGTGAGTATAAAATAATTTGAAATTGTAAAAAGTTAAAAATTTTCAATAATTACATAGATGGTGTGCAACCAAAAGAAAAAAACATAGGTGGTGTAAATAACCAAATGAAAATTTATATTGCAATTTGCACCAGTTTGATCAAATGTCATTTACCAGGTGTAATTAATAATTTTTTAATTCAAAATTTAATTGATTAAAACATTTAAAAAAAAAAAAAAAAAAAGAAAGAAAGAAAGAACACCTTCGTCTCCCGGCCGCAAGAGACGAAGAGGGTGTTCATCTCCAGGCTGCTGGAGAAGAAGGAACGAAGTCGTCCCTTCTTCTTCGACATGGAGACAAAGATCCTTTGTCTCCCGGGTGGAGAGGAAGGGACGTCTTCGTCTCCAGGCCGGAGGCGAAGAGATCCCTTCGTCTCCTGCAGCCACAAGACATATCAGCCAAAAAAATATAAAAAGCAACAGTAAAACTCGCATTCTCTGGTGAGAAGGCAGCCCACTAAGTGGGTTGCCTTCTCACAGAAGAAGACGACGCATATTTTTGTTTTAATTAATAGTTTGATTGTTAAAAAAAAATAAATATTAAATATTAATGTTTCACAACATTTAATAAAGGTGGTGTAAATAATACTTTTATACTTGCAATACCTATAAAGCTATTACACCTACTAAATGAACTTTTCTAAAATGATGTATAGTTGGGAGATTTTTCTTGGCGTACATAGTAGTCCATTAAATTCATTTAGTAAATTGTAATAGTTGGGGGACATGCAGATCAGACATGCATCATCATGCAAGAAGCCTTGTAAATTCATTAAATGCGTACTGCTGCCATCGAGTATACTCCATCCGATCCCCTTAATGCTAATGTTGGGAAGCCAACACTCATTTACTTAGAGCATCCATATCAGTTGGAGATATTAGAGGGAGAATGTAAAAGTGAGTAGGAAAGAGAATAATGTGGGAGAGGAGGGAAAAAAAAAATCAAAACTGATTTTATAAAAAAAATATATAAAAAATAAGCATGTCATTTCTCTATTGGTTCTCTTTCCTCCATCATTAATTTTTTTTCTTGGGCAGAATAATATCCCAACATTTGCAGATGCTCCCCACCCTTTCTCTCTCTTGATTCTCTCTCTGCCACCATGGCATTTTGGCCTCAAAAGTAGTGAATTCTCCCCCATTTCTCCTCTGATGTAGATGTTCTTACATGCAAATTAAAACTCTCTCGATCTCTATACATAGTCAGATAGATATATTAATTACGAGCGAGTCGAAGAAAACTAATTAACTCCGATCAGTCGATCTTCATTACAATACCGTAGCTCTGATCTCTTCACCCCCTTTGAACCATGGCGGCCGCTAATTCATCAACCGTGAGCTTGAAGCTCCTCGTTGACAAGAAGACCCGAAAAGTCGTTTTCGCCGAAGCCGACAAGGCCTTCGTAGATTTCCTATTCCACCTCATGTCGTTGCCGGTCGGGACAGTTATCAAACTTGTGAACCGCAAATCCATGGTCGGCTCCCTCGGAAATCTCTACGGCAGCATTCAAAAAATAAGCGACACATACCTCTGTTGATTCGATTGGGATGTGCGACTGCCACACGCTGCTGCATTGCTTGATTAGTTTGGGATGTGTGAAAGCTAACCAAAGCTACTGGACAAGAAATATGCTGCACTTATAATTCGCATGTGACATGCAAAATCCAACCAAAGCTAGTGGACAAAAATGATGATGCAGTGCTGACTCGCTTGTGATGTGCAAAAGTCACCAAAAGCTACTGGATATAAATGATGATGAATGACGCAAGTGCTGATGCAATATCGAACAAGCTACTTCTGCTTTGAACAAGCTGATTTCGAACGGCAATAGATGTAGGATGTATTATTAGGATTATATCTGTGTCGTGTACGTTATACACTTCCTTAAAAGCATTTGCGACCAGGGTATCGCTGCTTTCGACAGGAAAACACAGAATCACAAGAACATGTATTTTAAGAATTCTCAGGTAATCTCTTCTTTTCAGTGCCCTTGATGTTATGAAGCGGTGGGTTTATATACTAGTTGTGTGAAAACCACTCCTCCATTACAAGCCAAATGAGTCCTATAAAGAGGGAGAGCAAGAGAAGGATCTCCACTAATCATCCACACACACCTCACGTTTCTGTACATGGTGTGCGGACAAGGTGGTAAAACTTCCTTAAAATTAGGAGTTAAAAAAAATGTGCGGACCAAAACTTTGACCCCACCACACCGCGCGTGGCACGAGCGGGATCTCCCCTTGTTCCCTCTTCATAATACTTCAATCCATTTAAAATAAGTGGTAATTTAAATAGTGGGAGATAGAAAGGTAGATAAGCAATGTGGGACAAAGCCTACTCTTTAAATGTCCCCAACAATCCCCCACACATTTAAAGTGGTAATTCAATACCGTACCAACCTGAGTGTACATTCGAGTTAATTTCCATATCAGTGTATAAGACTTGAACTGACATGTAGTGGAGCCAAGTAACTCTTTTCCCGAGAGTGAATAAGATCTTGAACTCATCGGTCAGTCGAGTTTTGAACTTAGTTGCACTCATTAACTTTGTACCAGTCCCTGTCTTGTCTATTTCTACATATAGACATTTTAATCTGTCAAGTCTATCTCTGCATAAACTACCTGTAACAGGCTACAGACTTGTCACTGGTTTTTTCCCAGTTTTGTAAGTCTTTCCGTGATCTCATATGCCCATCATATGTGGTGCATCACGAATTTCTTACCACATTGGGTTTCAAACCCATTTCCCTTGACGTATCAAGGACGGTCTTACGATTTAGACCTTTAGTGAAGGGGTCTGCTATATTCTTTTCAGATCTCACAAATTCCATTGTGATTACCCCATTCAACATTAACTGCCTTACAGACTCATGTCTGACTCTTATGTGTCTTCTTTTGCCATTATAGACACTGTTTTGCGCAACACAGATGGCAGTTTGTGAGTCACAGTGTATTGGAACTGCAGGTGCCGGACACCCCCACAATGGCACGTCTGCCAGTAGGTTTCTCAGCCACTCTGCTTCCTAGCTTGCCAGATCTAAAGCTATAAATTCAGCTTCCATCGTTGATCTGGCAATGCATGATTGTTTTGATGACTTCCATGAGACAGCGGCTCCACACATAGTGAATACATATCCACTTGTTGAGCTTGCATCATCGCCACCATTTACCCAATTCGCATCGCAATACCCTTCTAACACAGCTGGAGACCCTTTATAGTCTAG